TATTGCAGTTTTAGACTCTGATCTCCTCTGGGGCAGCTCCGTTCTCTCAAGTCACGCTCAGTTCACAAATCAAGAGGTGAGCAGGCATGCCAGACTTGACCCATTGCCTTCCAGCAAGGTGGTGATCTTCAGGATGACCTCGGACACCTGGTGTCACCTCACTACAGATCCGACTGTAGCGGAGCAGCTAACCCACTCCTGAAAACCTCTGCCACCCTGCACACGAGCTCTCTCTTTAACAGAAGCATAAAGCAGTAGGAAGCAGACTGCAGCCCATGTGAAGTTCCCCCTCATTTTCTGAACCTCCCAAGACACAAGGGCTCACATCCCCAGCGCACATTCTCCATGTTATTAGGATAACTGCTAGTCAAGTTCAAAAGGCAGCTGGCTTCCAAGTCACCAAGCCAGAAAGAGCTATAATTTCTCTCACTGTAATTTCTCTCTGTGATTATAACAGTGGTTGACTGAGTCAACACAGGCAATGTCAGCAAGCAATTTTACTCAAGAACAGCAGATACCCAGGAAGAAACGCAGCCTTTGGGAGAGGGGGGGGGCCAACATGTGTGTGGGAGATGGCCTGGATAGATGCAGTGCTCACTGGGACATTAAACACGCTAGAGGATCAGAGAGCCAGTAAATACACACGGCTTAACTTCGTCCTTCCCAAAGGGATAGGAACGGAGAAAGGCAATCCTGCCTCCACTGAAATCAGGGGGAGTTTTACCATTGGTTTTTGATGGGATTTCATCCATCACAGTTAATAAGCGACCAAATCATCAGATGACTTGGGAGAGGCCACCCTGTTCTTAGCAGTGGTATCTTCCTTCTCGAACAACTCCAGGGACTGTTCTATAGCCTGGGGCATCAACCTATCTCAAGTTGGGACAACGGGGGCTCCGAACTGCCATCTTTAGCTCAACAGAACTGTGGCTCCACAGGCTCCATGGACGAGAAAGTCTCTTGTAAAGGGCAACTTCAGACAGAGTCCTCTTCCAAAATTCCAGAAGGACTGTTCTCTTTCCATGGAATACAGGGGGGAGCTTAGGGAAGCCACCCTGAACGAGCTGGAGCCTATCTAAGACTCTTCTCTCCTCCAAAGTCTTCTGCGGATCACCCTGGAATCCTCTCTTCAACTTAATGCCCAAACACTGCATTCTGACATTTTAAAAGGGCAATAATCCAAGGTTTTTTTCCAGAGTAATGTTATCCTAAAGTCTGCGCAGTGCTGTTCACCCTTGGCTGACATGCCCACACTAGTATCGTTTTAAGGTAGGGACAGAGAAAGGATCATGCAAATCGCGGTTTCAGAAAAACAATCATATCACAATGCGTCACTTCACCTCTCAGCGGCTCTGCACAGCAAAACCAACTGTATTTTTTCATGCGTTAGCAGAGTCAGCTGGAGTCTTCCCTTTGGCACTGAAGGGGGTAGAGACAGAAGGATCATAGCTGGAATTCCTGTTCAAATGGCCTCCGTGGAATGAGTAGCTAGAAAAAACAACCAGCCCTAACTCCTGAGTGGAGCAACCTAGAAGAGGGCTCAGGAAAGTGAGGACTGGAGGGCAGGAAAGGGCTAAGTCAGCTCATCACCTCCAGCCGCTCTCCCTCACCCCAGCTGAGCAGGGGATCAGTTGGGAAACACTGGGTTGGAGCCAGATCTGCTTCCCACCCGGATCAATCTCCGCCAGTCCCACACAGAACACGGGGCTGCTCCACTGGCCACCAGCTGAGTTGGATTCTCCTCTCCTCGATGCTGGAGTAACGAATTTACTTTAAAGGGGAACGGAAGTAAGTGAGAACAGGGCTTGGAAACAATAGGTTACATTCTTGAACTCCTGTGCGCTTCCCTTGGATGTGTTTGCCATCAGTATTAAAGGAACAACACTGAATTTGAGCTGAGCTGAAAACGAAGTTCACTGAAATCAAACCAGACCTACAGGGTGAATTCCTGGCACTGCTGAGGTCAGCGATAAAACTCTCTGTTACCTCACCGAAGCCAGGATTTCCCCCCCCGGTTTTTATAAAACCAACAGTCAGTGGAAACCTATCCAAGATTCTTGTTTTTAATTTCACTGAAAAATGTACATAAAGCAAACGTTTCCCTGCAACGATTGTAAAGTAAACAGCCGTAAAGTGCCCTCCTGTGTGCAAACGTGAAACAAAGCGAAGCATGAAGCCAACTCACCCTGCCCAAATGAGGGCTACGTATGAAAAAAACGGATGGAGCAAAGGTATTTGTAAATAAATAACGTGAAGTTTGCTGAAAGCGCAAATGAAGAAACATGGGTGGGTTTTTTGTCCAACAAAGCTCACATTTGTGTGCCCAGTTTTTCCCATAAAAACCTGAAGAACGGAGGCACACAGGTATTCCCATGAGAGACGCATATTCTCTCTTGAAAAGCTACAGGCACGGTATTGAAAATATACCATGACATAAACATTAGTGTGTCATTTTCCGGCTGCACTTTGTTTGTGATGTTATGAATCTCGCTCACTAAACGTTGTCCCATTTATTATAAAAGAAAAAAAAAATGCTGCAATCAACTGCAACTCCCACCTGCTTTGGGAAAAACCAAAGGCCACCCACCAAGAGCATGCTCACGAGGGCAGTTCTGCATGCTTCATTGTGGAAAAACATTTTTGAAAATGGTATAATTTTGCTCAGAAGAGAACACAGCTGAGCTGACACAGAGCAGAGACTCTGAAGCTTTGAAGTCTGGTTGGATTATTTCCCCTGCTTTTCCACTGTTCAGCTCCAGTTGCTGATGCCCACCCATCAGAAATGTCTCTCCAACATCCTAAGCAGTTCCATTAGTGTCCTTGCTGTTATGCTTTAGGAAAATGGGGTTTGTTCAGAGATGATTGTGGATTTTGGTATCCTAATCCAGGAAGGCATTAAGGTCAAGTTTAACCATCAGCCTTCTCTACACGGCTTTCCCATGGTCATAATCTACATCGTGCTCATTTGTTCAGAGCTGTAAAATGAGAGGTTATAAACTGGGGGCCTCTCCTCCAACTTCCCTAACTCAACAAACACCATTAGTGAGATGTTCAGCTACTACAGTGATGAAGGCAATGTACGTGTACGCATGAACAGAAAGGTCCAAGCATTTCTGAAGCATGAGGCTCCACGTAGGTGAAGTTGGCCAACCAAAGCAAAGGGTTACTACAGAAAATTTTGCCTAAGCAATTTCTGCTTGAAAAGCTTTAAGAAGTGCCACTGGGGGAAATAATGCCGTTGAAAGGTCAGATGCAGACGACAGAAAATGTTATTTTGATCTAATCCAACTTAACAAGGAAGAACAAAATGGTAATTCAAGTGTGATCCAGGTGTACCAACAACAAAGGAACAACCAGCGAAACAAAGTCAATGAACTGAAGCTGAAAAGAAAATACGATTTCAGTGTTATTAATTTAAATTGACAGCAAAGACTTGAAGGAAAACTGGGTATTAGTATGCACAATGAGACCATCCACAGCTACACTCCCACTTTACGTTCTGTGTGTGAGGTCATCTTCGCACACAGACTTCATACTCTAAAGTGATAACATTATGAAAAAATAATGTCCTGGGTTATTTTAAGGTTATTTATTTGAAGCATTAGACCAAGTTCATAGGCCAGACACAACCTCTTTCAAGGTCCAGACCCAGAAAACGTTTGTTTCTGGAAGAGAGACAGTCTGGCTGTGTTTGGACCAGCTCCTACTCCCAATCTCCACGTCAATCCATCCGAGTCCGCCCACCAGGCCAGGGATCAAAGATTGCTCATAACCATCCTCTAAGAGATGAGGATGTTCTAGTCCATAAGGAGCTAGGTTTGAACCGAGGAGAGTTAGTCTGACTCCTGGCTGTGCCTAAGATCTCTTTATATCGTGGATCAAACAAGAGACACTGGTCTATGTTCTGAACCACGCTCTTATTTCTCTGCACCTTAAACTCCCCTCCTGTGAAATGGCAGCACCTCAGAGTACACGAAAGAATGCAAGATGCTCAGATATTCTATCACTTTACACCTTTATCCCTGACTCCCACATGCAGCAACAGACTCCAGGGCGCCGTGTTACCGCTTACATGTGATCAGCTGCACTGCAACAGTGGTTTTTTATTTTTTTTTCTCTAGCTCAGACAAGGTTAATGACAATGACTCACTCACAGAGTTTTAAGGTCTGACAAGCCAAGCATCTGTAGCCAATGCAAGCAGGGACAGACAAGCCTGGAAGTCATTCACAAGGCATTTCAGAGCCAGAGTGGAACACCATGAGTGTCTGATCCTGGTGTTAAGTCAGTCTGTCTTTTTATTTTGAGACATTTTCATTTCCCAATTTCTCTCTTCCTCCAAAAGAGGATATGAGCACAAAAGGAACAACGCTAACAAAAATCCTGGTGCCAAAGCCGTGTATATGAGTGAGCATGTGCAAATCCCTAAGTAAGTGGTCCAGTTTTCAAAGACACATAGTACACTGGTATCAAGCTTCTGGGTGCGAACCGTATGATGGACATCTATCCATCCCCAGACAAACCTGTATGAAGTACCTGTCCTCCTCTCTGTATGTGCAGCAACTGCTGTGCCAGAAAGGCTGAACTGCACAGATCAAAGAGTACAATCCTCTTGGAGTCAGAGACATGACAGAGAGTGGGAACCGAGGCACAGGGGATGTGGAGAATCTGCTGCTCATACTGGAGCCAGAGGTCAAAGTGACACTGGTTCCACTAGCAGCAGACCCAAGAATCTGGTAAAGTCACACAAGCAGCAAGGCAACCCCTGCCAACAGAAAGGACAAGAGTGAAATGATTGACAGCTGCAAGATGGGCAAATCCCGGGGTCTTGTTTTTCCATCCCTTTTCCTACACAAGCTTTTCTCAGCAACCTGGACAGACATCTCCCACTGCTGGTACCTGGTCCAAAATATCATGTGACTTACACAACCCACCGTTTCTGTCCTTATCGGAGGAAGAGAAAAGTAAAGCTTTCTTGGAAGAGACAAAACAGTCAGCTTACTGATCATGGTGGTGCCCCCAGCCAGTGCAGCCTTGGTCCCTTGGAAGAAGTCATCAGCAGACGTCATCCCCTGTTCTGGCATCTGGAAGCGGGTGTGAACATCAATCCCTCCAGGAATCACCATCCTGCCATGGGCTTCAATAGTTTTCACTCCCCCTGGCACAATCAGATTCTCTCCTATTTGCCTGGGTAAAGAGGTTTCAAAGAGCACATCAGACACAAACAAGGCCAACAGCCTGTAAGCATACACCCTCCTGCTACTTAACCTGGCTAGCGTTTTCTTTTTCCGTATAAAGACACATCCAGGATCAGCATACACAGCTGATAACGTTTTATTCTTCCCCTTGAAGCAGTTGCATAATTGAGAGCAAAGTGTGCAATTACTTCAGGACCTCGGGGCAATATTAGACTTAAGAGGAAGGAAAAGAAGGAGCCACTGGCAGGCAGCTGGAGAAGGGACCGTGCAGATAATCAGATGATCGCTGCTCCAAACACAGCCAGAGCCTTGTCAGCAGCTTTACTGGGACTGGACTGGGGTTGCCAAGTGGCAGGTCAACACTTGATTCTTACCATCTAGCAGCAATTTAGATGCTAATATTGTTTTGGGAGCACCGGGAAAATTTTTGCCTCTATATATTGTCTACTTTCATGTAGAAATATTACGTCGTCCCTTGCACAAACACAAACCCGTGCAGATACTGGTTACCAGACTCCTGATGGGACTCTCAAAGGTCTCTCCAGTTTAGCTCTTCACAGACGTATTTTTAGAAAAGTGCCATGTCGGATGACACATTGCGATTAATGAGCTCTTTTGGGCTCGTTCCTATAACTTTCAACCTTGATTAACAAAGCACATGTGCTGACCATGTAGCCAGAACAGGAAAATTCCCTGTTTGTAACCTCTGGCTCGTCCATTTTTTCCTAAGAGTAATTTTCCAAAGAAATTTGTAATATGTTTAACGTGCCAGAAACGTATGTTTTGGGACTGAAAAACACAGAAGCATGCTGGAAAGAGGTCTGAACGCCAATCCTTAAACTACAGGAACATTTTTAACATTAAGGGGGTTTGGATGATAGATTCATAGAAGACAGAGCTACAAGAGACCTCAAGGGGTCACCTAAGTCCACCCTCCTACCCTAAACCAGAAGTAACTGTATTTGGATGGTGACCCCTGGATTCAGAATATTTTAAGTCATAACTCAGTAAAATGTTACAACACAGATAACTTCAAACACATGTGCTGTCTCAGCATGGGGCTATTCACATGGCTAAAATTAAACACATGTAAGTACCTCCTCTGACCCACACTTTAATAACAGTGGGGCTTTGGGCCATTTGTTTATTTAATTTAACGACTTGTTTTTAAAGTTCCTCCATCAAACACCAGGATACATGTGAAATATTCATTTTTTTTCACTGCAATTTAATATAGCTCACTGAGATGAAGTTATTCCTTGCTAACCTGCAGGACATTTATGGACATTTCCAGTCACAACACGGTTTCAGGCTTCACTTACTTTATCAACCCATCTTCCATGTAAATGTCTGCATAAAAAGACTGGTCGTCATTAACTATTTTACCACCTTTGATCAAAAGACGATCACTCTGCAACAAAGAAGAACACAACAATACGTAATTATTCGGTGAGAAAGCTGACAGTCTGCAGTGTCACTTCAGAGATAAAAGAGTAGAGACAGGAACAACCTCTGCATTATTCAAAAGTGCACGTCAAAACGCAAGTCAACTGCTGCACTTTCAACTGGAAAGATAATGTATTTTATTTCATCTGGAAAGTCCTTTCATCACACTAATGATCAAAAAAAAAAAAAAAAAATCCGAGCAGAAGAGGAGCTGGGTTCCACTGGGCTTGTCTACTTGGCAGCTTCGCTCAATACCTGCAGTCTGCCACCATCACCTACAGCAAGAGCATTAAATAATACTTAGAGCGATGCGTAATAGCCACATCCCTTATTTTTTTCTGCCTTGGTCGTATGCAAAATTTCCTACATGCACCCACACACTGGAGTCACTACTTGGCCAACTGTGAGTCAACTGCTGTCAGGGAAGTGGACCAAAAGTCTGTTGCCACGGGTTACACCACACAAACAAACTCATTTTGTCCAACTCAGTGATGTTTCGATGCAGTGGACACTTTTACTGCCTTTCCAGAGCACTACTGCGTAATCAGATGGAAATAAACTTTAATTTGCTAATATGTGCTTAAGAGAAGGACTTAAAAAACGGTTATTAAAATTAGAAGACAGTTTGGCAGGAACAGGAAGGTAATTATAACAAGACAGCTATCGGGAGATGTGCTTTTATCACAGCCCAGGTTACACCTCGCTCCTGCAAGATTTTAGGTCAAAACCAAATTTATCCTTTTTTGCAGTAGTCATAAACAAGAGTGAAACTCAGTCTGGATGGGGAGGGGAGTTCAAAGCGACTGCTACGTTCTTCTGGTTCCTTCATTCCCAGCATGAGAGATGCACACCTTTAAAGCAAAGCACAGACAGTATGCAGTGCTCAGTTTAAACTACACCTTGGCCCTTACGTCTGCACTTTGATCCTCCTTCCTCCTCCCCAAACCATCTTTTTAAGAGAACAAAGCTACACCAGAACAGCACTGCCAAAGACTGGTGAAACCAAAAGCTGACTTCAAAAAGGGGCAGAACGCAGGACTTTTACTTGGTGGTGCCTTGAATTTACAGCAAATACGTATAAGACAGTGACAGTGGTGCTCAGGATCCTTATTTCGAGCTGGGACTCCGCTCGACAAACAGGAGAAAAGAATCAGGCGTTTTCCCAAAGAGTCTGTAATAAAACTGAAGAGCTGGAGCACCGTATTCTCAGCTGACACAGGCTGACATGGCTCTTTTAACACCAAAGAGCTACACGAATTGCATCAGCTACTGATTTACACCATTATCTCCATCTTTTATACGACTGCTAAACACCTATGAGATGTTAAGTGTCTCTCCTTCCCCGTCCTCGTTTCCTTCTCCTTCCTCCAACGGATGCAACGGAGAGTTTCCCTGAACAACGCCACCAATTTAAAAAACAAAGAAAGAAACCCCCAAGATTTAAATTTAGGATCTGCGGTGAATGCCAATAAGCCTGAATGAATTCACTTGGGGCGTGAAAAACCCACTTGTCTTTCAATGCCAGCCTCTACAGCAAACTGTCCTACATGTTTACCATTTCCAGAAAACACTGCAGTATTTATGCCCACCTCTAGTGCAGCCTCCCTGTGCTATTAAAAAAAGGCAAAACCAGCTAGTTTGGCCATCGATGTCACTGACAGCTCGAGTCCTAATGCAGTGGGCATCAGTTAGGAAGGAAAAAAAAAATAATAATAATAATATATGTATAATGATCAACCAAAATGCAGCCTGGGCCATTTTAATGATGCTCTGAACGCTTCTGCTAGTAAACAGGTCTCCTGCTGCGGCTGAGCGGTAGGATCTGAAATCAGAACGAATCCTTCTGCTCATTTCAACCACCTTGGAGACAAAAGCGCACGCAGTTTGCAACCGGGCGAGGGGCCTGCCCCTAAATCTGTATGTATTTACCCTACTGATGCAGTCAAAACGGGACAGCTAGACAGCGAGCATCCTCCTTCTTCAAGCATCAGCCTCCGCTGATCAATTGTAGGTTTATACAACCGCCAATAAGACCAGAATCTGATTTTTTTTCTATCCCTTCTCTTTAGAGGAGAACTGCATCGGGTGCACACCACATAAATCAGAGCATTCACTCGTAAGAAAAATGCATCAAGACTACTTTTGGCCTGCGACAGCAATTCAGCAGTAACCTTCATCCTTATTTAAACGTAGGCACCTTTTTTAAACTCTACCACTGGACTCTCGGATGGAAACTATCCACCCTCCCCTCCAAAAAAAAAAAAAAAAAAAAAAATGCTCCACGTATCACGTAACAATTTTGTGCATCCCCTGCCTTTCCTAAACATCCTTTCAAACGTAACTGTGCGGCCCAGCGGCTCCTGCACGAATGTCACACTTCAAAGCTCCATTTCAGAGCTCACTTTTCTGCCTCCGAGGCTGAGGAAGGAGAACTAGGATGGGTGTGTCCGTGGGGCTGGGAGAAGGAAGCCGCGGCGCCGCTGCCAATAATGAAAAACTCTGTGTCAAAAAAAAAAAATAAATAAATAAAATAAATAAATGGGTGTACCAGTCCGTTAGATGCGAGTATCTTGCCTTACGTAACGAAAAGTTAGTATCCTCGGATCTGCAATACCTGCCCTAAATCGGCTCCCACAATAACGACGTCAAGGGAGGGGTTTATATAACGGCTCCTTCCCTGCTCCCCCAGGCTGGCAGCGAGGAGCGGGGCGAACCGCGCGCCTTGCCAGAAGCTTCTTGGGGAAGAAAAGGGAATTTTGCTGCATCCCCAGCGCCAGCCCGCCGGGCTGGGGGGAGAGAT